TGAGTGGTTTCCACCCAAGTTGGAGGACTCCACAACCATCTCGTGGAGGAGGAGGACTTCACGTCTCGTGAAGAACTCTAAGCGCTGCGGAGCCTATCGAACCCAGCGTGTGCCTTAAGAAGGCTATAGGGGCCTGATCAACCTCTAGCCTCTCCCCGTCGCCGAAACGCTATCCCTCGACGAACCCCTTCCCTGCGCGCTTTTGCGTGTGTATCCAGAGCTCTTTCCGAGTTATTAACAAGAGGCTCCAGTTTTCTGCGGGTCTTGGTAACGAGAGGCTCGAGTTTTTCTACGGGTCTTGGTCGAGCGAGTTTTGTAACTGCAACTTAAGCGAAGCTTTTCCTGCCTGCACTGCGACCATCTACGGTGTAAGTAAAATAATCTTTAATCAACCGCTATGCGTCTGTGCCTAATTCTAGTTCGTTGTGCCTGCTTTCCCCGACCCACGTGCCAGGTCTGCTGGCCACGGCCCGCCGCGTGCCCCTGAAGGCCTCGGACCGCTCCCGGCCCGCACATGGCGACGAGGATGGGATCCGGGGAAAGCACGCTAGAGCTAGAATTAGTTAAGAACTGCCCTTGGCGCAGTGGAAAACGCCAAGTAGAAAACTTCATGGAACTGGAGGTGCATATCGCTTACCACCAGGCGGGTGGAACGGGTGAGAGGTTTATCAGCGGACGCCTTTCGCTGAAGGGAGAAGAGGGAGCTCCCGAAGACGGAGCCCCAAGAGAGAGGGAAGTGTATCTGCACCCGGCGGCATTCGGGTGCATAATGAATGATGAGTGGGTCCTGTTCAGGCCCCTCAACACTGTGTCCCTTGTCAAAGTCAACCCAGCAGGCGCAGTGAACCCGACCCTCACCCGGGAGTGTGCCCGTTGCCTAAGATGTGCTCGGGAGAGTGAAGAGCCGGTGCCGATCAACCGGTTTGCCCCCTTTATCATGGCATCTAGATTAAGGGGTCGCGAGCTTCCATCCGAGCTCCGCGAAGATCTGGAGACGGAGGAACGCGCCGTAGATGAAGGGTGGCCCCAAGATAGGACAAGGGGGGAGTACTGACTGCAACTTTTCATACTATAACCGATCTAATGCAAAAGAATTTAAGTTTGAAAGCCCAGCTGCGTGTGGCCATTCAAGCGGTCGAAAAAGCGGCTGCGAAAGAAAATCCTGAGACACCACACCAAGATGGCGCCGAGCAAAAGGGCGACCGCGTGGAAGAACCGGAAGAGACTGGCGG